GGAAACTGCGACAATCTTTATGTCCGTTCTGACACCAACAAGTACCACAATCTGTGTTGTCCCTGGCGATGTACATCATCTGTCCATGATGGGGGATCGTTTTACCGTCGTACTCACTAAGATAGGAAGTATAAAGTTTTGATGATATTATATATATATATATATATATATATATATATATATATATATATATATATATATATATATATATATATATATATATATATATACAGAGCCGGCGTTAGGGGTACGCGGGGCCTATGGCCAACCATCCGCGCGGGGCCTTATATTTTTTTCATTGGTGTCTAAAACATGTACAGTGAGGCGTATTTTTTCTTCTCAGCGCGAATTAATATTTATAACGATATATATGGTATTTTTTAAGCTGTTTATCAATGTCGTATTAACTTTAAGACACTGATTAACAAATAATTTGTTTACTTAGAAGTGCTTTTGAAACATTGCTTGTTTCTGTTAAGGCTTTTTGTTTGAAAAGTAAAAAATAAAACAGATATAAGTTTGATACACCCATTAAAGAGACGATGAACGTCAGCTTCAAACCTGATTTTTTTACATTAATGTTTATTTATGAAAATCTTACCAGTACGTTTACAAACGAAGATCTACTTTTCTTGCCTTACGTGACTGGAACTGTTAGCAAGATTCTGTAGGCGATAGCCGTATTGGGAAAGGAATCCCGAATACTCCAAATGTACTGGCACTGTTTGGTTGACTTAATACCTTCGGGCACTTTGAAGCAACGTTAAATCGGTCCACAGTGGCAGGTGATAGTATCGATATTTTCTCAATTTATCGAGTGTTAACAGGGGCATTCAAAGTGTGTGGATGCCGGGGAAAATAGCAAAACATTGATAGATTTCGGAATAAGCTCGAATTGTGAAAAACACTGTTTACAGCTATAGATATCCAAAGGAAATGACTCTCAAATGTAATCACGGACGCTCAGTAAGGTGGAACACTGGGGGGGGGGGGGTGACAGTTGATGGAGTGAGGTGAAGCCCGTGAAGGATAACTGTACATTTAAATCTATGGGATGCCAAACCCTAAAAAAAATGAGTTCGGGTACTACGTTACTGGATCTCTGACCGCAGCCATTCAAGAGAAGGTGCGTGTTTATAGAGCGTCCGCGTATTACATTAAAGGTTAAGACCGCGTTCTCACAAGAGAAGGTCCGTGTCTATAATTAGAAAGTGAACCATGTGACAGCCAGCTTCATGTTATTTATGAGTTTCGCGATGGCATGTTCGGACTGCCGGTAATTTAGACGTTTTAGAAATCAGGAGAACTTTGCCATAAAACAGTCTCGGCCCGATGTATCAAACAGTATAGACTTTTTAATTTGTTTAGTGTGCCTACACTATTTTGAAACAAGAATCACTATGGCCTTAACTATTATACTGAATATCCCTACACAGAGGCGTAGCGGGGGGTGGGGGGGGGGGGTGCGGATCGCACCGTGTGACACCTTTTAGAGGGGTGACACCAAGGCAAAAAAATAGCAAAATATATAGAGAAAAACTTGAAGGGGGTGCAAATCGAAAGTTTGAGGTGTGTGTGTGTGTGGGGGGGGGGGGGGGTTGCAAATCAAAAGTTTGAGGAGGGGGGGGGGTCGCTACGCCTCGGGAAGGGGGGGGTGACACCATTAAGTGCCGCACCGGGTGACACCCGACCTCGCTACGCCACTGTCCATACAATTAATTAAAATAAACATGTGCTTAATCACTTTACAAATACCGTTAAAGTTTACCAAAATGAAAATGGACATAATTGCTGTATAAATGCACTTCGAAAATATAAAAATAAATACAAGTATAATGTATTTAAAGATGACCTGGCAATATATAAAATAAATATGAACATAATTACTGTATGGATGCCTATCAAACGTATCGTGGTGAATATGCATAAAAGATGTTACACAAAAGATGCCAAAACGGTGTATAAATTATGATTTTAGGGATAAATACTCTGGATTTCCGGGGCATGTCCCCATCCGCTCCCCCCCCCCCCCTCCTCCTCTGCAAGCCATCAACAATTTCGGCCATTTAGTTGGGTTTTTTTTTAATTTAATTCAGCAAAGATTATTTAAGTTTACAAACTAATTCAGGCAACAATATATATTATATATATATATATATATATATATATATATATATATATATATATATATATATATATATATATATATATATATATATATTATATAGGCCTATATAGCAGCTATTAAACTTAATTTTTTTAAATCAATTCAATTAGGCCTAACTGGCTTTGGTTTTTTTTCTATTGTCATTTAAACTGAAATCTAGGTCTTTGTGAGTGACTGTTACTAGGATCTAGATCTATATTCTATAGGCTTAGGTATAGGCCATAAGGGACGGTGGGGCTATTGTATAAGTCACAGATCTAGATTCCATAACTGTAACTATTGATCACTATTCTATAACCCAACTCCAAAACTTTGCCTCCACACTTTTACTCTATCAATGGTATCATACTTCATATGGTACTTCTTTTCCCTCAGTCAAGTGAAAGTAAAGAAAGGCAACTAAAATTGTTTGGAATTGTTTTTTTAAAAAAGCCCCAACAACCAATTAGACATTTGTGCCCAGTTTTTTTTTTTTGTTTATGTGTGTATTCATTTTGACAAGTAGATTCTAATTTATATAATTTAATAATACTATACTGTTATTATTATAGAAAATCTAGTATCAGTAATTACTTATTACCTTTCACCTTTCATGTTTTTTTTTCAATTATGATATTAAGTTAAAAGCAGTAATAAAAGTAGGTCTTGCCCAATCTATTTTATTACTGTGTGCCAGTGTATAATAATGAGATATGTTAAAAGATCACAAGTATCATCAATGATCATGTAGCTTGCTTCATTTCAATCATCACTAGATTTCTATAGAAATGGCCTGATGCTTGCATTAAAAAATGTGCAGTTTACTCTGATTTACATTCATGTTATAAAGACATTGACAACCCCCCACCCCCTAAATCTTACAAGACAATATATGTCTTACTTTCATGTTAGCCAATCAATAATTGCAAACCAAAATTATGCTGTTAATTGTAAATAATAGGGCATGATTTATAATTATTTCAATATTTTTTCTCTATAAAACTATGCATTTTTTTGCAGCCCCTTGATAATTTTCAGTCAGGTGCTTCATCTAGATGTATCACTGAAGTCTGAACCAATATGAAGCCTATATGAGTATATTTTCCAGCATAAACTATTTAAAATTGAAACAGTTGAACAACACATGGATGTGACAATATAAGCTAAAAATATTTTAAGAAAACCTTTTATTTTTAAAAAATATTTTTTAATCCTCAATCAAGCCACAACATCCATAACAGAAAAAGAAAAGGTTACAAAGCAAAATGTCATTGAAATGTTCACATTTTCCATTTTAAAATTTGTTCCAATTTTTGGGAAAATATTTTTTGCTTAAAAATATTTTAAACTTCATCTCTGAACACACATTCAATAAGTGAAGTTTAATCTCTGGCTTAAGTTTTTGATTTCTTAAAAAAAAAAATATGTAAATTGTTTTGGACTAGATAAATATTCTTTCAAACCAGAAATTATAAGCTAACTTGGTTTTCAATTTAGGATGAAATTTAAAAAAATAAAAAAATAAAATTACTAATTATTGAAACAATGTACTGGTGGAATGGTTGATTGTGCATACCAACTGAAAGAAATAGTTTATTATTAATCTAATGGAATGAATGATTTGTAGAGTTATTGCCATTTACTTTGATGAAATGCAAGATAAATGTAATAAATAGACATAAAAAAAATGTAAGCACCACCAGGCACTGACCCCCACCACAATATCTATACACGTACACCCATTAGCAGTTTTTCGACACAAATGAACCCAATATTTTGGCTTCACTTTGTAACTTATAAGGAATGCCTAAATGACAAGAAAGTAGTTCTGGAAGTACAAAAAAAAATCGTTTAAAAAAAAATACAACTTTATACAGAAATAATGAAATATTGCCATCACCAATATATATATATATATATATATATATATATATATATATATATATATATATATATATATATATATATATATATGACTTAGACCATGTATGAAAAGGCACTTGGAATGTTTGCACCAAATATTTCAGTGGCAAGTTAAATATAAAACAATAGCAAAAATAGTATTTATTATTAGTTTTAAAAAACCCAGATGTATCTATTATGATAGTCTAGTTTAGTTCTGATACAATATGTATTTTTCTAGGTTGCTTTTCTTGTTAATACCCTCTAAATTATATAATAGAACCTTATATTTAAAAAAAAAATATAACATTTAAAAGGCACTGAAGTTTTAACAGAATAATGTATTAAGGCACACTCCAGTTTCCTGAAGGGTTCAGAAAATGAATCTTGAGGTACTGTACTTTCACAATTGTGTACAAAATATAAGCAACAATAAGGCAATTATTGGTAGATAAGTAGCTATTTACATTTGTAAAACACAAACCCTCATTATTTAAAACAAAATAAAAACCATTGTATATTTATATATTCAAAAGATTGGAAAGAAGGAAGCCAAAATGTCTCATCCATTTAGAAACATTTGTAAAATGTTTTTTTTCAACGGTCTTTAAATAAAGACAAAAATAGTATCATGAGAGCACTAGCAAAAATGAAATGAATATATATAAGATTTAAAATTTATGTTACATGGTGGAAGACTGGATTCAGCAATGTTTCTTGTTTGTCAGTTTTAACAAGAAATAAGTAAAAGAAAGCAACAAAAATAAAAGTAAATAATTATGATTAATTACACTTAAGGTCCAAAAAAAAAATAATAATTAAACAGCATTCTTTTGCTGAACATGAAAGCATAAAGGGTTAAACTTCAAAGCTACATTGCTTTTAAAAAAAAATTTGTTATCAAAATAAAAATAATAATTGGTTAGACAACTGGGCCTTGTAACTACCAAAATCAACAAAAAAATGTGTTATGAACAATACATCTGTAACAAAGCATCTGTAAATGAAGTTGAAAAGTGGCTAAATTAGCAGAAGAGAAGCTGCACTTGTCACAGCTGAACTGCTTTGAGCCATCTTCAAGTCCTTTTGAAAAAATTTGCTGCATTTTAGGATTGTTAGACAGCATCTCATTCAACTTCTCCGCCAGCTGTTCATGTCGTTTCTCAGCTATTTGCTGCTTTAGGATCTCTATTGGCTCACCTGCATAGGATTTTTTATTAGACGCAGCTTGCAATATTTGAGATTTTGAGGCTGCTGTGCCTACATCTTGTTCTTTAAGCTGTATAGGATGTGCCTGACTAGCATGCTTGTAAACTGCAGTTAGGTTGGAGAATTCGGCCGGGCACCATTCACACCGAAACTTCGAAGCTTGCGTCTGATGAGAGGCCATCTTTGGAATTTCACTTAAAATTTGTTGAATCCTCGCCTCGGTTGAATCCAGCACCTTCTCCTGTTTATCCGGCACAGCCGCGACTTCTTTCCTCTCATCCTTTGCTTGATCCTCTTCCTCATTGATCATAAAGAAAGTTTCCCACTCTTTTGGGTTAAATGCTGAATGAGAACTCATATGATCCAGCAGAATCTCCTTTTCTTTAAACTGTGAACTGCAATAGAAGCATTGAAACCCACTGAGCTCAAGCTGTGCATGATCCTCCATATGTTTTTCCATGGTCTGTCGGTTCTTACATACAAAAGGACATTTAGAGCATTGAATTTGTTTAATAGGTTTTCTAGGGTGTTTTATACGAGCTGCATCTATTTCAGATTGTTCTTGAGAGGCTGATGAGCTGTGGAGAGATTCTCGGCCAATGTGTTCAGCTATTCGATGCTCCATCAGGTTCTGGAGGGTCTGGAAATACAGCGTGCACTGGCTGCATTTAAATCTTCCCTGGGTGTTGTCGCTCTTGTCTTCTTTATTTGGTTTTGGAAAGTGGTTGTAACTTTTTCTGTGCTTCTTGAGATCGTAGGCCCAGCGCGTTGAGTATTGGCAGACATCACATTTGAATGGTTTATCGTCAGAGTGGAGGCCGGAGTGGCGCTTCAGCTCAGCTTGGCTGGCAGTGGTGAATGGGCAGTGAGGACAGCTCCAGATTTCAGCAGTAGCCGTCTGCTTTGGTTGGGTGCTCATTGGGGGTGACTGGGATGGGGAGGTGTTGTCGCTGTTCATGTTTGAACTGGAGTTGAAACTAGCAAAACCGTTGTTGGAGTAGTTGTTGTCAGTGACAGAATTTTCATTGTTGTTGCTGCTGAGGTCTAAGGTCGATGCCCTTGAACTTGGCCGGCTTTCGTCACCTGAAGACTGTGCTGATGAGCTAGCTGGACCACTTTCCTCAGCACCAGTCAGCTTCTTGAGTTTACCTTGCAGGCTAACAATAGCATTGGGCGGCCCGTGACTAATGAGGTCCCTTCTCCTTGCCTTGGTGGTATCTATGACATCATTGATCCCACCTCCTCCACAACGCTTCAGATGCTTCACCACATCCCACTTCCACTTGCTCCTATACTCACACCTGGGACACAGGTAAGGTTTGGAATCGGAGTGGTTTTTCATGTGCTGCGTCACCTCAGAAGGCCACCTGGCGTGATAGTTACACATTGTACATTTATAAGGCAGCTCTTCTGCTTTAGAAGTTCCAGGAACTGGACTTGTTTGTTCTCTGCTTCCAATTTTCTTGGCTGAATTTGAATTTTGGCGTAGACGAGCAGCCTCTTGTAGATTTTTCTCCTGCTCCAAGATCTCCTGTGGTGTTCTGGTCATCTGCAAAGTGTTTGACTGACTAGCCTCTCCATTGCCGAGATACTGAAGCTTTTTCAGGTAAGGCAAACCGTTATCTAAATTTGGCTCATCGTCAAGAATGTTGGGTTGACTAGAAACAACTCTTTGACCAGCCTGTGTGGCAGCGATGATGCCCTCCACAGAGATATGATCATCACGGCATCCGTTTATCAACTCATTGGACATTTTCTGGCGTTTAATTTCAGGCTCTTCTTCAACTTCCTCCTCAGAGCTACCATCTGGTGTATCTCTTTTATCGTTTCTTCTGTACGGATTCGGTAGGTTGGGGTGACCATTCTGAAAGTGCTTGACAAGATCCCACTTCCATTTATACGTAGAGCCGCAAACCATGCAGACATATGGACGCTCTTCTGAATGTGAAACAGCATGCTTCTGAAGTTCCGCCGGCCATTTAGCCTCAAACTCACACTTTTTACATTTGAGACTTTTGGCCTCTGAAGCACCGAGATCCTGATTACTGAGTTCACCAATGTCCTGCAGATCCATCTTGAGGAGATGGTAAGTTTGCTGTAGACCGTGAGGGATTTTCTTGATGGCTTCTTTATGTTCAGTAAGTTTCTGAAAGTGATGCTTGAGGAAGTGGTTGTTGAGCTCATCCATGGAATTGATTTGAACCTTGCACTGGTTGCATTTGACTATTCTCTTATTCAAGTGGGAGCTGGTGTGGTTGGCGAAATCAACTTCGGACATGCTGGTGAACTCACACTTGGAGCACCTGTGCACTTTGGGAATCATCTGGTTAATGGCGTGAGCGTGCTTCATGTCCTGCCATGCTTTATCATGCTTCATCTTCTCCTCCTTCTTCTTGGAGAAGTCCAAAGGCTGCTCCTGATCATAAGAAGAATTGAACTCCTGCTTCACCATAAACTGGCTCATGTCTGGCTTGTTGTCTCTCGTCAAGTCGAGAGCGCCCTCCTCTGGTGAATCATACCCATTACTTGGATCGGCCATCCCCGGGAATACAGGCTGTGTTGAGCCAGCCACAAAAGGTCCAATCATACTGGGCATTACCAGACTGGGAACAACCCTCGACGCACTAAGCGACACAGGGGTGTTGAGGAAATTGGGTGGACTAGGAGACTGAGCGAGGCTGCTGGGCGAAGCATTGTCTATGGGGTTGTCATCTTTATTTGTTTTAATGGTGGACAAAAAGACATTGTCATAGATTCTACGGGCTCCCAGCTGTGTGTACTTCCCTGACTTAAGCAGCTCCAGCATACCAGGGGGGCTGGCCACCTCCACCAAAGGATCTGAGCTGTGTTTCTCTTTCCAGTGTTTATTCAAGCTTTTCCTCCATTTATAAATATTCCCGCACTGCGAGCAGGCGTATTTTGTACCGCTGCTGTCTACAGTTTCGAAGTATTTTCCTGGATCCACCTCCTGACGAGTTTTCTTCTTTTTCTTTTTATCATCGTCTAAACGCTGGTCGATATTTGTGATTGTGACAGGCACAGCAAGTTCCTCTTCATCCATGTCATCATAGACGTTCTTTTCAGCTTGAATCTTGTTCATACTGGCAGATTCATCAGAATCATTGGGAAAAATGTCAGCCGTACTTGGAAAATGCTTCTTCCTATGCCTGGCCAATTTCTCTTTATTAGCATTAGTATACTGACACAAATCACACTTATAAATTTTATCCTCTACTTTATGCGCCTCACTGAGGTGCTGGAGAAATGCCTTCACGCCATCCAGTTTTTGACTACACTGCCGACATGGAAAAATCTGGCCACTTTTGACAGCATCATCAATAACAAGCTTCCCCTCCCCCTCTTCTTCCGGGCTAAAATTTTCTCCGACGCCCATCTGATGTGGGAATAGTTTTTTCTCGTCAGTGTCAACATTCATTGCATCAATTTCATCTCCCTCGTCCTCCCTCGCATCATCTCTTTCATTTGCCTCATTCGAAACCTCCAGGGCATCAGATTCGGGAGTTTCGAAAAAGCTGTTCTTTAGTTTCTCCTTATCCTCCAACAACAGAGGAGCACTGGTCGGCGAGTCCATGTCAGAACTGGACTGAGGACCATCCGGTGTTTTGGCCACTGAAGGACGTCTCCGTCGAAGTCTGTCAAGCTTTGATTCGATATCGGAATGTGTGGCTAGGTGAGCAGTGAACTCACGGGCGTCAGTGCAGGTGAATTTGCATTTCTTGCACAACCTTCTGCGGCCACGACCCTTGCAAGAATCTACAATATCTTCTTCGTTGATTTTCTCATTCGCCTGGGTGGCAGGCATGATATTGAAGTAGCCTGAAAATATAAAAAATTTTTGGCTAGTGTTATTTTCAGTTAACATATTTTTATTAAAGAAGCATGCTGAATAGAATTACTAAACTATTTTATTTCATAGAAGAATAACTGAAATATTTTTAAAATGTATTATATTATTTAGCAATATACATCATTGAGTGATCCACACTAAATCCTACAGTAATGACATTTAATATACATTCAGTTATTGATCATTTCAATATTTGACCACAAACAAATTTTAATAATGTATTTTACAATGCAATTTAAAAAAAAAAATTCTGCCAAAACTTATATATAGACAATACATGTACAAGTGTTTTTTTTTTTAAAATCAAGTTCACTGAGCCTGCACAGTTTTAATAGTTACTCAACATAAGCTGTGTATAGATTTAACAGTTGTGCAGCAGTCATACCCCATGTATGAACTGTTATGTCTTCAAAAGATCACTCAAATATGCAAATAATCTACTGCAGGAGAATAGTTTAAAATTAAATATTAAATTAATATTTAATTAAGTTACTTTAATTTAATATTACATTAAATACCACACTAATCCTGAGATAGAGAAATTAATTATAGGGATGAATCTAGTAGAAAAAGTAAATCTCCCTTCATAAATAAAGACATGATAAAGTTGAGCAAGAACAAAAAGCATTATATAACATTAAAAATACACATACAGACTCACTCTTTACATGTGTATATATAAATATAAATAAGCCTTCATTGTATACTGTGTGTGTGTGTGTGTGAGAGAGAGAGAGAGAGAGTGAGAGAGAGTGAGTGAGTGTGTGTATAGGCATGCACACATCAATATAAATGATGTTGTGTCAACTAATTAGATTAATCAAATTTCTACAAAGAAAAAGAAGCCTTGTTGTACATTGAGACACTTTAAAAAAATATTATTTTGCTTATACTTTAACTGAAATGTTTAAAGATCCTTTAGAAACTTGTTGTAGTAGCAGTATATTATTTCTCTGACACTGTAATAGCACTGTAATATTGGGGAGCCGGACGTTTTCCCGAAAGACACTTGCCCGAATGCCGTTTGCCCGAAGGCCGATTTCCCGAATGGACACTTGCCCGAATGCGACATATGCCCGAATGGACACTTGCCCGAACGCGACAAACGCCCGAATGGACACTTGCCCGAATGCGACAAATGCCCGAATGGACACTTGCCCGAATGCGACAAATGCCCGAATGGACACATGCCCGAATGCGACAAATGCCCGAATGGACACTTGCCCGAATGCGACAAATGCCCAAATGCCACTTGCCCGAAGGCCGTTTGCCCGAAAAATGTAAATATTAGATAATAAATAATATTTCCAAATAGACATTTTTTAATCAATTTAAGTTTTAAATTTTGATTATAAACACAATTCTAAGCATAAAACAAAGTTGTTTATATTTTTAAATTTAGCTTTTTTTTTTCAAAACCGAGAAAGTGCAGTAAGAAAAACTGTATTCTTTAATAAATATAAGGTGATGTTGGCGGCGGTGTTCTAACATTCTTTTGATGAATGTTCTGAACACCTTGTTTAGTCGACGTGTTGCAGTGGTTATATAGCATTTATGACTCGGCGTAGTCGGCGAGGCGTCTCGCAACATTGAACGGAAGCGCGTTTGTTTGTTTATCTTATTATGCTTTTAACTTGTGTGGTAATCATTTAGCAAAAGAATGAGGCGAGGTCTAGGTGGCGTATTTAAAAACAAAACGTAGTCAGATATGTTTGATCTCCATTTAATGCGCCTTGTTAAGACAATGTGTTGAAGCGATTACTTAATAAAGAAAGCAAAACTCATTTTAAAATCCGGAGAAGAATGAAAATTGTATTTTTGTCTAATTTCATATATGGAAGAGAAAGTATGTTTCTACACTTTTTAAATATCAAATACAAATTAATTTAAAATGTCTGCGTGGTAATATATAATATTATTTTTTTCACTTTATTTTTGCGTAGATGTGTTTTGTTTACCAACATTTTAAATTTAAATTGACTACGAATGATTATTTAGTAATATATAATGTTAACATTTTTCGGGCAAACGGCCTTCGGGCAAGTGGCATTCGGGAATTCGTCGCATTCGGGCAAGTGTCCATTCGGGCATTTGTCGCATTCGGGCAAGTGTCCATTCGGGCATTTGTCGCATTCTGGCAAGTGTCCATTCGGGCGTTTGTCGCATTCGGGCAAGTGTCCATTCGGGCATTTGTCGCATTCGGGCAAGTGTCCATTCGGGAAATCGGCCTTCGGGCAAACGGCATTTGGGCAAGTGTCTTTCGGGAATTTGTCGTAGACCCGTAATATTGTAATTGAAAAAAATTTAAAGAAGCCTAAAAAACTGTCCCAATATAGTCTCATTAAGTCTATAACTATAATAAAATAGTCTTCAAAGAAAATGTCCTTGAGGAACCTATCACTGCCGATGTAGTTTCAATATTTCCAGTGTGATAATATGCACTACTAGATCTAGATGCTATGTATAGCTCTAGGTAAGTTTACGTCATACCCAGTTAAATGGTGTCGCTTTTGTTGATACGTTTAAAAACACTAGAATCTAGATCCACGGGCAATGCGTTTTGAGTAAAATAGTTTAGCATCAGCTTTAAAAAAAAACAAAAACAAAAACGCGTTGTTTAAAATTAACAGTATTAATCCCAAAGCTTCAACGAACATAACATTTTTTTTACCATTTCTTTCTGCATACGTCTAGTAACGTTTCCCTACGACGTGTTCCAACAACGACCGCTCCCCCAGGACAAACGACAGCAGCAGCCGAGCGCGGGACCCTTGGTCCGGTCGCAGCATCATCAGCTGTGTTATCAGATGAAAGAACGAACGCGGAGCCAATGACAAATCAATGTAAGTCGGGATAAGCCTCTCTTTAAGTGCGACGGCCGGGTACGTGTGTGTACAAGAAGGCTTTATCACACGATGCGATAAAGCCAATGCCTGAAGGCACGGAGAAAGTTTAAATGTGCCATTTACTTCATGTGCTTGCCCTGCCTACGGTGGAGATAACTGTAGACTATGGACATCAATCTAATGGTGGCCGCTTACGGTTTAGATAACTGGAGTCTGTATATCAATGTAATGTGACTGCTTACAGCTGTCTATAAATCAATCTAATGTGGATGGCTATAGCAGTCAATGTAATGATACTACCTCCAGAAGTCTATACATCAATGCAGTATGGCTACCCACAGCAGTCTATACCTACATGTATGTATTGTGACTAACCATACATGAAAATAAAGACCTGCCAATTAAAATTTGAAAATAAAAAAATTAATTAAAAAATATTAAAAAACTTATTAAAAATCATAGACTTCGTGGTTTTCTGACCTGTCGAAAAAAGTTCCTGTTGAAAAGTTTTTTCTTACGTAAAATTTTCCATCTATATGTAATTTAAAGACCGCTGTTTATTATTGTAGTAAGGCTAGGGCGGGTTATAATCCATGTTAATTCGACTAATTGTTAATTAAGGTAGGATACAAAAAAAAAAAAAAAAACTTTGATACAGCCCTAAAAAAATATCAGCGATCGTAGAAGTCTTGTCAACGCAAAGGTCAACAGCTTACGAACACATTTAAGATTTTTTTTTAGTTTTTTTTTTCTTTTTAGGTAAATAAATTTTGTCTAGCCCGTGTGTATATGTATGATGTAAACGAGGATAGCCTGGGTACGGTAAAGGAATTTAAAAAAAAATCTTTGCCAATGAGCACTCACAGAACCAGTGTGCGCGCCTTCAAGACCTCGGCGCTGACACAAAAATCTAGGCCAGATTCGATCCAGCCCAGAAAAGGCCTATCATGTTATCTTGTGGCAATGGCCACTCAATCGAGGTCGAAGAGGAAGATAGTTCTTCGGTATCAGCCACTGGGGCCATGTGATTTATCCAGAACATGAAGGGACCTGCTCTTATCTCCCGCCATTTTGTGGAAGTGGGTGGATGGCAGACAAGTCGAAGCGAAGATTAAAAAAAAAAGAAAACATTCCTGCAGTGATTATTTATTCCGGAAACTAAATTCATCCGATCTCGTTTTTTTTTTTAAAATCGTTGGTTATCGTTAACTTTAGCACATTCTGAAGTGGAACCCGTTATAATTAGTGTTGGAATCTAGGTTTTACCATACAGTGGCGTAGCCAGAATCGTCTCATGGGGGAGGGGGGGGGGGATTTCAAATTTATACCCGGGGGCAAACTTTCGATTTGCACCCCCCTCATACTTTATATACTGAGTGGTTTATGTGGGGGGTGGTTATGACCCCCTAACCCCCCTGCCTACGCCACTGTTAGCATACAATAGGGGTGGTAGGATTTTGGTGGGATGTGATTGTGAGGTACAAGAGCTGACCTAACAGATAAGACATGTAGTCGGCACTTGTCTTAGAACATTCGTAGTTGAGTTTGTGTACGACACGACAGCAGTGATTCTAAATGCCAAAAGTATGGACTATATAGGACACGACAGCAGAAAGGACTATATAGGACACGACAGCAGAAAGGACTACAATAAATCTACACCGCATTTGTAATGGAATGAACACGACCTGTTTGGAAAGTATATATGCTATAATATCGGGTGATTCTACTGATAATTTAAAGGCAGTGGACATTATGGAATGGAATAAAGACGACCCCCCCCAATCAACCAACTAAAGGTCGGACGAAGGATTCAATACTTTTGTATTGCGTCTGGAGGTCAGGGGTCAGGTTATATACACATGTGGTATACATAACCGATAAGAACCAGCTTCTTATCGACAAGTAATGCCATCAGTGTATAACCTAACATCAACGTCAGCGATACACTAAACCAATATAGTTAGGTTTTTAGGGTATGAACATGCAGGGTACGGCTATTCGACTAGAGCATTACACCACCATTCACGAGACAATACACATGACGTAGACACGTCGCAGACGTGAGAAAGAAATTATTGATTCCCACAGAAGTGCCGTCTCTTCAACAGTAGTGGT